ATTTAATTAGATAAACTTTTAAATACTTTTATAAATAATATACATTAAGGACATTATAGTTCGAAGAATTTTTTTTTTTTGATTAATAATGAATTTTTATAAGAATTGTTTTCGTTTTTTTTTAATTATAATAATTTTAAAATGTTTTTAAAACTCTTCCAAATTCCGCCTTCGTTATGTTATTAAGATATTAAGTGAAGACTATATTTACTAAGCGAACATTGAAAAACTTAATACAAATAATCATAGCCGTATATTTTTATGATAATTTAAATTTTTTTTTTATATGTATAAACGTGCCCATTTTGAAAGTATGGATGACCATACACGACATTATCAGAAAATAAGGACGATCATGATAGTAAAATAAATTTCAAGTCAACATTCCTCAAATTAGATTAAGGAGAATATTTCCAACATTTTAAAGGTTACTGAATAGTTATAAATATTAGGTTGGTGCAAAAATAATGACGTAATAATGTCGTTTTTGGACGTATTTTTTAACGTCAAAAAACGACATCATTACGTCATTATTTTTGCACCAACCTAATATATATGAAAAAGCATTCACCCGCCATTTTCTTAAATGTTTTAACAGGTAAACTCTCCGTAGAACGATAATAAAAATGTCAGCAACTCGTAAATCACTTGTTAGTGAGTTACGATCCTTGTCAAGCAGTTAATCACTGCTACTGTTTGTTTTAAAAATCCATTTTCCTGTTATTTTCAGCTTTAAATTTTTTTTTTTCAAAGCAAATTAATTATGTTTTAAATCAGCTAATATTCATCCCAAAAAATTTCATAAAAGCATATTTTATTTTTGGAAGATTTTTTTTAATAAAGAAAAATTCATTGCGATGACAGATGGCTAAAAAGGTCGTTAATCAACTATTTTTTCCTTTCCCCTCAAAAAAAAAAAAAAAAAAAAAATAAAAATGAATCGACTCTAACCAATAGAAATTCTGTTGAAAATATACTACAGGGTATTTTGTTTTTACTAGAGATAGTTAATTTAATCCTTTAGCTTTTAATTAAAGCTAAAATGAAAGCTTCAAGAAAGCTTTTAAATTTTTAAACCTTAAGTATCATGAATTAGTGGAGGTACCTATATACATACACAGCAACGTGGGACCAAACAAAATGAAACTGTAATTTTAATGGACCAAGCAGCCAATGCTACGTGAGTTACATTTTTCTGGTAATATTAGCCATTTCCCTATAAGGAAATATTCAGCATTCATTGAACCAGCAACCAATGCTAATTGAGTTATCCTTTCATTCATTCCTTGGCAATCGGGCTGGAGTAAATTGTAGTAGCTGTTTTCCTTATCTCTAATGCCAATAGGAAGATTAGCCGTTTCTTTATAAGGAAACACCCAACATTCATTGAATGACAAAGTAGCCAATGGTATTATCAGTTGAAATTTATAAAAACGTTTACTAGTAAAACACTTTTTTTTAGGATCATCATCCTGCGGCCTCAGCTGAGATTGAACTCACTACACCTATCCAGTATTCTCTATCCGTCATAGCTCCTAAAAGATCTTTCTTAGGGATCAATGTGTCGCGTTTTATCCTATCTGGAAAGGTTAACTTGCGTGATCGATTGACAGATGATGGGTGCCTCCAGAGTACAAATGATGACACAAGTTCATCTGTGGCACGTGCACAATGCCCGGCGAACTGGACACGTCTCCTGCAAACTAAGGATGATACTCTTGGCAAGTCTCCATATATCATTTCTAGAGTTGGGTGGTTTCGCCATGAGAGATTAAGCACTCTTCTTAAAAGACGTGTATAACATCCATCTAAACGGCGCTGTTGTTTTGCTAAGAGAGTCCAAGTTTCAGAGCCGTAGAGCAAGATTGGCTCAATAAGTACGCGGAAAAGTTGGATTTTGAATTGACGAGCAAGATTGGATTTCCAGATCTTATCCATTTTGTTACAAGCAGTCCATGTCATGCCTTTTCTAATGTTGAAATCTTTCTCAGAGTTCTTGATGTGTGATCCTAGATACTTGTAGTCTTCGACACATTTGAGGATGTTGTCTGAGAGTGTTTTGATCTCATGATTGTTGCGAATGTTAATTGGCATACACTCAGTTTTGGTTTCATTTAGGTGAAGACCTGCACAGTTAGCTGCTGATTCAAGAGAAGAAAGGAGTGCTTGGGCACTAATGAGGTTGTCAGACAGCAGTGCAATGTCATCAGCAAAATCAGCATCGGTGATGTAGAGTGCAGGATGACGTGAGCTTCTTCTAGGTTGATACATCAGTCCATTTTCTTTGATTGTGTCCACTGATATACGCATGAACACAATTTTTTAGGATAATAGGTTTCTCAATTCAAGTTACTATCATTTTTCTTCCCAGTATTGATAGCTGTGAATTGTTTTGTAAATGCGCATGAAACGCTCTTGGTTATAGTCAGTTTACAAATTAACAGTTAAGAGTATGTAAGGGAGGTAACTTAATTTATATTATTTATTGTTAATGTTTTAAAATACTCAACATGCAATCTAAAAAGAAAATATAATTTGGGTATCCGAAAATATTGCTTTTATATACATTTTAAAACATTGCTACTATATTCATAATTAATATTTAGCGTTGGTCGCATTTTTTTAAATATAGAGCGCTTCAAGAATTCGAAGATTTTTTTTTTATTTACATGGTGGAGTATACTTGTATCGTCAATTAATATCCGGCCTTCATCAGGATCTGTCTGTATTTCTGAGATGACGTACTGTAACGATTTACAGTATTTACAACAAGCGAAGTTCAGAATAAACGCTCGTATTTTTCAAGCAGCACAAAAACTACGTCTTAAATCAGACAAACATGAAAAAAATAAAATAAAATAAAAAAAATAACAACGCCTAAAGCAACCCACCTTAAAAATGGCTAAAGAAGTGGGCGAAAGCGTTCGGGACAATGGACAGTTTTTGTACTGGCCTTACCCCCACCAAATAGGAAAATGAAATCAAGCCGGAAAATCTGAATAAAAAATTAATCAAAGTTGCCTTGTCTGTCGGATTCAATTAAACATGTTTAAAGGAAACGTTGCCGATAAGTTTATTTATTCTGGGAATTTAAAGAAGGGTGTAAATTAATTTTTAATTAACGAATGTAATCGAATGAGGGGAAAAAATATGAATTTCAAGAAACTAGAGTCCAATAATATCCAGACCCAGCAAGCATTCCCTCTGTTTACAAAGGGAAGGCTCACGGGATCCGATATACAAGGACTCTAGAACCTTGAGGTGAAATGTGGAGTGGGACCTAGATAAAATTATAAATCGGTCGTTATGATGATCCCTCTTGCTGTCGTGACCTACTGATCTAGTTTTCCTCTTTACTGTTCCCACTTTTTAAAAATTATTCTCCGTTCTGTTGATGGTTCTTGAATGGACTTCGAAGATGGAAGCTAGAGTATGAATGTTGGTACCATTACTGAAGTCCTGAAGGATCCTTTTCCTCTTACCATTAGGAAGACATAGTGGGGTTAACACAAAACGATTTTAACCTGTTTTCTTTTCTAGCTGAATAACACTTAAAATTCTTACGACAAATAGTGTCAAGATATCTTATCTGAAAACCTGGAAAATAGAAACTCAATTAGTTTAGTGTTTTTTTTTTTTTTTAGGTATTAAACATTTTGTGGGATGGACAATTATCCTAGAATGTTACACGATTTGGACAAATTTTCTGTTACACCAGCTATATATATATATATATATATATATATATATATATATTACCCAAGATCCTAATGTACAGCCAGTTAGATCAGGGCTACAGGAATGTAGGACGCCCATGGCTATGATACAAAGACAAGCTGAAGAACAACTTGTCAGCAGTCAATATACCACATAACACCCTTGAGCGCTTAACCTTGAAGCGGGTAGAGTGGAGATCAACATGTTTTAAGGGACTCAGCAATTTTCAATCTGCTTGTCTGAATCATCTTCAAAAAGCGAGAGCAAGATCTAAAAGATCAGCCAATCTAACAGTAATCTCATCTCACAATACTCAAACTTGCTCCATATGTGGCCTCCTTTGTAAATCACTAGCGGTCTTAAATGCCACTTAAGATTATCTCACAAAATTTCATAACTGAATCAATAAGCTGTCAGATCCTCATACGTCGAAACTGACGGGAGAGAGTGTATTATTATTATTATTATTATTATTATATATATATATATATATATATATATATATATATATATATGTACATGTATTATGAAATTGACAAAGTGCGACAATTACTTTAAGGCATTTTATGTGTATACGTTCTTTTTATAGATACAAATATTTAAGTAAATGTTCTGCTTATAATAAACAGTATTAACGCCTGAATGTCCCAGAAATTTTCATAGAAAATATGCGCCCTCCGACAGGAATCGAACCTGTATCCTATGCGGAACCGTCATATAGCCTGAAGTGCTTTTACCGATTGAGCTACAGAGGAGTGTTCAGTTAGCAAGGTCGAATTTACTGTTTTTAAACTACAATTCTCCATGATTTTCTCTCGTACATTCAGATCTGCTCGATGCGTATCCAAATGTAAACAAATGACGTCACACATTATGAAATCGACAAAATCCGACAATTATTTTAAGACATTTTTTATCTAGAAAAAGAACATATAAACATAAAAATGTCTTCATATATATATATATATATATATATATGTGTGTGTGTGTGTGTGTGTGTGTGTGTGTATGTGTTTGCGTGTATATATATATATATGTCTGTGCGTGTGAGTGTATGTGTGCGTATGTATGTAAGAAAGAGAGAGGGTAGCGATTGGTAGTCTCTAGAGATGCCAGAAATTCCATATTGAAACGCCATTCTCTCAAAATGGATACGATCATTTAATTGAATTATGATCACCAAGACAATCGCTTCAAACACTGAGTGAAGAACGGTATTAAAACAAGGTCGGAACCGTTACGTTCCCAAAGGTCATAGTGCAAGGCAGAAAGCGAAGCGTTAGTTATGAGGGAAGGAGGTTGGAGGGACGGGACTTGAAATCATGGGGAGAAGGGAATCTGGGAAAGAGCCCCAACGATGAATACAAAGAAAGAGAGAGAGAGAGAGAGAGAGGGGGGGGGAGGGAGAGATAGTGAGAGATAGAGAGAGAGAGAGAGATAAAAGGGATGAGCGATGGAAAAGAGAAGAAAAAAGGAGAAGGCCAAGGCTGGTATAAAGAGAGGGTAGGAAGGAATTTCATTAAAAGGGCAGTTGTCCTAAATTCAAAGGATAAAGTGAAATTTAGATGAATCTAAGAAAGAAAGAGGGCGAGAAAGAGATGGAGAGAGAGAGAGAGGGGGGAATAGAGAAGGATGGGAAACGAGAGAGAGGGGGTGCAAACATATAAAAGTAAAGCAAGTAGAGTTGGGACAAAGTAAAAAGATGAAATGAATGAAGAAGGTATTAGTCATGAATTGAAAAGAAGAGAGAAGTTTAGGCAGAAGCCATTATATATATATATATATATATATATATATATATATATAGAGAGAGAGAGAGAGAGATAGATAGATAGATAGATAGATAGATAGATAGATAGTGAACGTACTTTGATAGATAGATAGATAGATAGATATGAAGAGACTTGCATAGATAGATATGAACAAATTGAGATTGATAGATACATAGATATGAACAAAATGAAAAGGAAGGAAGGAAAGAAGGAAGGAAGAAAGGAAGGAAGGAATGAAGGAAGGAAGGAAGGAATGAAGGAATAAAGGATGGAAGGAATGAAGGAAGGAAGGAATGAAGGATGGAAGGAAGGAAGGAAGGAAGGGGGGAAGGAAGGAAGGAAGGGGGAAGGGGAGGGAAGGAAGGAAAAGGAAGGAAGGAAGGAAAAAGAAGGAATGGGGAAAAGAAGGAAGGAAGGGAAGGAAGGAAGGAAGGAAGAAAATGGAAGGGAAGGAATGAAGGGGGAAGGAAGGAAAGGAAGGAAGAAGGAAGGAAGGAAGGAAGGAAGGAAGGAAGGAAAGGAAGGAAAAGAAGGAAGGGGAAGGAAGGAATGGGAAGGAAGGAAGGGGGAAGGAAGGAAGGAAGGAAGGAAGAAGGAAGGATGGAAGGGAAGGAAGGAAGGGGGAAAAAGAAGGAAGGAAGGAAGGAAAAGAAGGAAGGAAGAAGGAAGGAAGGAAGGAAGGAAGGGGAAGGAAAGGAAGGAAGGAAGGAAGGAAGGAAGGAAGGAAGGAAGGAAGGAAGGAAGGAAGGAGGAAGGAAGGAAAGAAGGAAGGAAGGAAGGAAGGATGGAAGGAAGGAAGGAAGGGAAGGAAGGAAAGGAAAGGAAGGAAAGGAAGGAAGGAAGGAAGGAAGGAAGGAAGAAGGAAGGAAGGAAGGGAAGGAAGGAAGGGGGGAAAGGAAGGAGGGAAGGAAGGAAAAGAAGGAAGGAAGGAAGGAATGAAGGATGGAAGGAATGAAGGATGGAAGGAATGAAGGATGGAAGGAGGGAAGGAAGGAAGGAAGGAAGGGGGGAAGGAAGGAAGGGGGAAAGGAAGGAGGGAAGGAAGGAAAGAAGGAAGGAAGGAAGGAATGAAGGATGGAAGGAATGAAGGATGGAAGGAATGAAGGATGGAAGGAAGGAAGGAAGGAAGGGGGGAAGGAAGGAGGGAAGGAAGGAAAGAAGGTAGGAAGGAAGGAAGGAAGGAAGGGGGAAGGAAGGAAGGGGGGAAGGAAGGAGGAAGGAAGGAAAGAAGGAAGGAAGGAAGGAAGGAAGGGGGAAAGGAAGGAGGGAAGGAAGAAAAGAAGGTAGGAAGGAAGGAAGGAATGAAGGAAGGAAGGAAGGAAGGAAGGAATGAAGGAAGGAAGGAAGGAATGAAGGATGGAAGGAAGGAAGGAAGGAAGGAAGGAAGGGGGAAGGAAGGAAGGAAGGAAGGAAGGAAGGAAGGAAGGAAGGAAGGAAGGAACCTACCCTTAATTTAAAAAAAAATAATGTCTGGAAGGAAACCAAGAGACTGAATGACAAAAGCAAAACAAAGGCAAAGCTGATATAAAAGAATCGGAATGAAGAGAGGGAGGAAGGTACCCTAAATTCAAAGAAAGAAGGCAGTCTGGATGGAAGATAGATGGACAGTCAGACAGACAGACAAAAAGAAAGAAAAAAAAAGAGCTGGAAGGGAGGAAAGAAGGAATGTAAGAAGGAACCGACGCTAAATTTAAAAAAGAAAGAAAGAAAAGAAGTATGCCTTGAAGGAAGATAAGAGAGAGAGAAGATAAAAGAAAAGAAAGGAAAAACTGTTATAAGAGAGTCGGAAGGAAAGAAGGAAAGAAGAAAGGACCCTACCCTAAATTCAAAGGCACTCTTGAACGAGACTAAGAGAGAAACAGATAGAGAGAAGAAAAGAAAGATAACGAATGAAAGAACTGAATCTGGGCGGAAGCTGTAATCGAGAACTGATGAGAATGAAGAAGAGAGAAAGGAGGAGGAGGAGGAGAGTAAAAGTATGAGAAATAAGAGAAAAGAATGATAAAAAAAAAGGAAAGGGTTCAAGCCGAGACCAAAGCTTGAGAAATTCCGCAGAAAATATGCGTGCTCCATTTCATGGGAAAATTTGTAGTTTAAAAGCAGTAAATCGGCCATGCTAACCAGACACCTCCTTCGTAGCTAAACTGGTATAGCACGTCAGGCTATACGGCGGTTCCGTGTAGGATACAGGTTCGATTCCTATCGGAGGACGAATATTTTCTATGAAGTTTTAGGTTGTTTGTTATAAACAGACCATTTGCTCAAATATTTGTGTCTATATAAATAACAATAAAATATATTAAAATAAATGTCGAACCATTTCATTATCTCTCTCTCTCTCTCTCTCTCTCTCTATCTATATATATATATATATATAATGAAATCCATTTCATTAGATATATAAACTTATTAAAAAGTACAGGCATTTTGTCTCCGTTGAGTTTGGCTTACGAATTATCCCCCGGAAGACACCAGGCAAATTTTTTATATGACCAACATATAAAAAAGAATCTAAGATTCAGTTATTTGCGGACGATATCTTTCCTTTTTCCCTTCAGCATATCAAATATATTCCGATAAACTCAAAAGTCGCATGTAATAAGAATAATATCTATAATATAATTAAACCTCTAGATACCCACACCGCATCCACATACATACTAATTACCCGTTAAACAAGATTTTTTACCTCAACCATAGAATTTAGTCCAATATTAAAAATGTACATATAACCAACAGTCAACACACGTGGCGACACCACCAATTTTCGCAAAACCAACTAGAAATTTGATGCATACACATACAGGTATACTACTATATTCAAGAATTAAACACACAGACACTACCAGACCGACCCCAAAATACGATAATCCAGACGCGCGTAGGCGCACGCAGAGAGAGAGAGAGAGAGAGAGAGAGAGACAGACAGACAGACAGACAGACACGCAAAAATACACGCTAACAACAGAAGATGTAAACACATGGGATTAATTTGACGAATGAAAAACAAACACAAAACTCAAATGTACCGGAATATTCTCTACTCTTTTACAATTCATTTCCCAAAATTTTTGATGAAGGTTAAATAAAGGCGAAACATGTAAAATTTATTTGTTCATTATTCTATGATATATATATATATATATATATATATATATATATATATATATATATATATATATGCAACCTTGCTTGAATGCCAGTTGAAGACGGAACAAAGTGAAAATTATTAAGGAAACACAACACACACAGGCATATATATATATATATATATATATATATATATATATATATATATATATGTGTGTGTGTGTGTGTGTGTGTATAGATAATTATTTATTTAAAAATATGATTCCATCGGTACATAAGAGTTCTCATGTTTCAAAACAAGAGCTGAAAAAAACTCAATATAATTATTTGAATTATATATATATACATATATATGTATATAAATAAAAAGAAAGAACAGTAAGATATAAAAACCGGTGTTCTTATAGATATTTTTATTTTTTTTACAAAATAGTGCTCAATGTAAATTTACAGAGCATTAATATTATAAATTAATTGATTTAAAATATGGTTTTTTTTCGCTACACAGTTCCAACCATGTTTCAAAACTAGAAACACGCACCATTTGATAATTTCCTAATCTTACTTTTTTGCTGACCTCAATTTACATGAATGTAAAATTACTGGGCATATACACCATATATATATATATATATATATATATATATATATTTTCTCTCTTCATATATATATATATATATATAATATATGAAGGGACACATAAGAAACTAAACCAAAAATAGATAAGAACAGATTGAGATATGAAGGTAATGAGATAGATAGATAGATAGATAGATAGATAGATAAGAACAGACTGAAATAGATAGATAGATAGATAGATAGATAGATAAGAACAGACTGAGATAGATAGATAGATAGATAGATAGATAGATAGATAGATAGAAATATATGCATCAATAGGCTTACATAGAGAGGTAGATATTAATGAACAGAATAGATAGATGATAGATAGATAGATAGATAGATAGATAGATAGATAGATAGATAGATACGTACGAATTACGCGGGGTAATTAAAAAATATGCGAGATAGATAAGGACGCACTGAGATAGGTATACAGCTACTTAGATCACCATATGAACAACTCGTGTCAGACAGACTGAGAAATAGATTGTTAGATAGATGGATAGGTAAGTAGAGAGAATAGCAGAGAGAGAGAGAGAGAGAGAGAGAGAGAGAGAGAGAGAGAGAGAGAGAGAGTGAAAACAAAGAAGATATAACGTGAGAGAAAACGAGAAAGGCATTTGAACGATTCGAAGCGGGAAAAAAAAATCACAGACAAAAGATTAAATCTGTTGGAATGACAGTGTCACTGACAATGACACAAAGCTTTTTATGAGGTTGACTTCGTACCCGTTTCACCCTCTGCTTGACTTGCTCCATGGAGACAACTTTAAACCATTTACAAATGTCATGTCAAAACGAAAAGTCATTGGGTTCTGCGGGAAGCCAAAAACAACTGGCCGACGTCAACAGGCAGCTCTGCCAAAAACGGGTGATTCATAAAAGTCTTCAGATTTGTCCGAATAAAAGAATTAGGTGAGATGATCAACTTTTTTTTTTTTAGTTATATACTTTTGACACAAGGCCACAGATATAGGGCACCCACTGAAGATCACCCAGTCATCACTAAATACAGAGCAAAACGTCCAGGGGGCGCAACATGTAAGACGTTGCCACAGGAGTTTCTTTAGCAAAGAAGGTGTCAATCGACATCTCCTGATGCCTTGACCTTGACCCCTGTCCTTCTCTTTATTCTTTTCCCCAAAACTCCCCTTTACTCTTACTCTCACTCTCTGTAACCCCTTGCATGCTAGTGGCACACCCGCCTTACTTGGGGGTGATTTGCTTAAAAAAAAAAAAAAAATAAGCCTCTTATTCAAAGCTTTTTAAATTCAGTTTCCATTCTCCTACACTAGTTTCCAACCAAGGCTAACGAGCCCAGTCTGGCTTACTATTTAACCCATCACTAGCTGGGGTGGGGGATAAGAAATGGATATTTAGCAAAAATGAACGTAAAGAACGCGACCGTAATTCGAACCAGTTTCGTCGATTTCTCTTTTCCTACCGCTAACCGTAAAGAAAAATAAACTACTCAAAATATTAAATATTAATATCTTATTTAGATAAGAACACAGGCCACTCATGTTATGGTAATGGTTAACAAGTTGGTTTAACCGATTACTGAAATAGTTTGTAAATAGATGCTTAGACACCATAGTCTGATAAACACGGAAAGAGAGGGAAAGAAAGAAGATATAAAGGGCGAGAAAAGAGAAAGGGAAAGAGAGGAAAAGAAAGAAAATATGAAGGACGAGAAAAGAGAAAGGGAAGGAGAGGGAAAGAAAGAAGATATGAAGGGCGAGAAAAGAGAAAGGGAATGAGAGGGGAAAGGGGCGAGAAAAAGAGAAAGGGAAAGGAGGGGAAAGAAAGAAATGAAGGTCGAGAAAAGAGAAAGGGAAAGAGAGGAAAAGAAAGAAGATATGAAGGCCGAGAAAAAGAGAAAGGGAAAGAGAGGGAAAGAAAGAAGATATGAAGGGCGAGAAAAGAGAAAGGGAAAGAGAGGAAAAGAAAGAAGATATGAAGACCGATAAAAGAGAAAGTGAAAGAGAGGGAAAGAAAGAAGATGTAAAGGGCGAGAAAAGAGAAAGGGAAAGAGAGGAAAAGAAAGAAGATATGAAGGGCGAGAAAAGAGAAAGGGAAAGAGAGGAAAAGAAAGAAGATGTAAAGGGCGAGAAAAGAGAAAAGAAAGAGGGAAAAGAAAGAAGATATGAAGGGAGAAAAGAGAAAGGAAAAAGAGAGGAAAAGAAAGAAGATATGAAGGGAAGAAAAGAGAAAGGAAAAAGAAAGAAGAAAAGGAAAAAGAGAAAGGAAAGGGAAAGAAAAGATAAAGGGCGAGAAAAGAGAAAAGAAAGAAAAATCAAGAAGATATGAAGGGAGAGAAAAGAGAAAAAGAGAGGGAAAGAAAGAAGATGAAAAGGAGAAAAGAGAAAGGAAAGAGAGGAAAAAGAAAAAGATAAGAAGGAAGAGAAAAAGAGAAAGGGAAAGAGAGGAAAAGAAAGAAGATATGAAGGGCGAGAAAAGAGAAAGGGAAAGAGAGGGAAAGAAAGAAGATGTAAAGGGCGAGAAAAGAGAAAGTGAAAGAGAGGAAAAGAAAGAAGATATGAAGGGCGAGAAAAGAGAAAGGGAAAGAGAGGGAAAGAAAAAGAAGATGAAGGGCGAGAAAAGAAAAGGGAAAAGAGGAAAAGAAAAGAAGATGAAGGGCGAGAAAAGAGAGAAAGGGAAAGAGAGGGAAAGAAAGAAGATGTAAATTAGAAAAGAGAAAGGAAAAGAGGAAAAGAAAGAAGATATGAAGGGCGAGAAAAGAAAAAAGGAAAGAGAGGAAAGAAGAAGATGAAAGGGCGAGAAAAGAGAAAAAGAAAGAGAGGAAAAAGGAAAGAAGATATGAAGGGCGAGAAAAGAGAAAAGGGAAAGAGAGGAAAGAAAGAAGATATGAAGGGCGAAAAAAAAAAGAAAAGAAAGAGGGAAAGAAAGAAGATAAGAAGGGAAAAAAGAGAAAAGGAAAAGAGGGAAAGAAAGAAGATAAGAAGGGCGAGAAAAGAGAAAGGAAAGAGAGGAAAAGAAAGAAGATAAGAAAAGGGCGAGAAAAGAGAAAGGGAAAGAGAGGAAAAGAAAGAAGATATGAAGGGAGAGAAAAAGAGAAAAGGGAAAGAGAGGAAAAGAAAGAAGATAAAAGAAAGAAAAAAGAAAGAAAAAAGAGGGAAAGAAAGAAGATATGAAGGGCGAGAAAAGAGAAAGAAAGAAGAGGAAAGAAAAAAGATAAGAAGGAAAAGGAAAAAGAGAAAAAGAAAGAGAGGAGAAAGAAAGAAAAGAAAAGGAAAAAGAAAGAAGAGAAAGGGAAAAAGAGAGGAAAAGAAAGAAGATATGAAGGGCGAGAAAAGAGAAAGGGAAAAGAGGGAAAAGAAAGAAGATGTAAAGGGCGAGAAAAAAGAAAAGGGAAAGAGAGAGGAAAAAGAAAAAGAAAAGGGCGAAAAAAGAAAGGGGAAAAGAGAAAAAGAAAGAAAAAAGATAAGAGAAAGGAAAAAGAAGAAAAAAGGAAAAGAAAGGAAAAAAAAGAAAGAAGATAAAGGGCGAGAAAAAGAGAAAGGGAAAGAGAAAAGAAAGAAGAAAAAGAAAAGAGAAAGGGAAAGAGAGGGAAAAGAAAGAAGATATGAAGGGCGAGAAAAGAGAAAAGGAAAGAGAGGAAAAGAAAGAAGAAAAGAAAAAGAAAAAGAAAAAAGAAGAGAAGGGAAAGAAAGAAGAAAAGAAGGGCGAGAAAAAGAGAAAAAAAAAGAGAGGGAAAGAAAGAAGACAAAAGGCGAGAAAAGAGAAAGGGAAAGAGAGGGAAAGAAAGAAGATGTAAAGGAAGAAAAGAGAAAGGAAAGAGAGGAAAAAAAAAAGAAGATAGAAGAAGGAATTCTAAAGAGAAAGGGAAAGAGAGGAAAAGAAAGAAGATATGAAAAAGAGAAAAGAAAAGGGAAAGAGAGGGAAAGAAAGAAGATGAAAGGGCGAGAAAAAGAGAAAGGAAAGAGAGAAAAAAAGAAGAGAATGAAATTCAAAAGAAAAGGAAAGAGAAAAGAAAAAATTTCTCAAGAAAAAGAGGAGAAGAAAGAGAAAAGAGAGAAAAGAAGATGAAAGAAAAGAAAAGAATGAAGGGAAAAAAGAGAAAAAGGGCAAAAAAAGGAAAGAGAGGAAAAGAAGAGAAGAAATGAAAGGAGAAAGAAAAGAGAAAGAAAAGAAGAGGAAAAAGAAAGAAGATAAGAAAAGGGCGAGAAAAAAAGAAAAAGAAAGAAAGAAAGAAGATTCCAAAGAAAAGGAAGAGAAAAGAGAAATTGAAAAGAGAGGAAAAAAAAAGGAAGATAGGGAAGGGTGAAAGAAGAAAAAGAAAGAGAATAAAGAAATAGAAAGGGCGAGAAAAAAAGAAAGGGAAAGAGAGGGAAAGAAAAGAAGATGAAAAAAGGGCGAGAAAAGAAAAAGGGAAAGAGAGGAAAGAAAAGAAGATGAAGAAATAAAAAGAAAGGGAAAAGAGAAAGAAAGAAGAAAGATGAAAAGGGCGAAAAAAGAAGAAAGAAGAGAGGAAAAAAGAAGATAAAAGGGGTGAGAAAAAGAAAGGAAAGAGAAAAAAGAAAAGAAAGATGAAGGGAGAAAAAGAAAAGGAAAGAGAAAGAAAAGAAAGAAGAAAGGAAGGGCGAGAAAAGAAAAGAAAAAAAAGAAAAGGGAAAGAAAGAAAAAGGGCGAGAAAAGAGAAAGGGAAGAGGAGGAAAGAAGAAGATATGAAGGAAAGAAAAGAGAAAAAAAGAGAAAAAAAAGAAGAAGAAAAGAAGAGAAAAAAGAAAGATTGAAAAAAAAAAGAAAGAAGAATGAAAATGCGAGAAAAGAGAAAGGGAAAAGAGAATAAAAAGAAAAAGATATGAAGGGCGAGAAAAGAGAAAGGGAAAGAGAGAAAAAAGAAATGTGATGTGAAGGGCGAGAAAGAGAAAGGAAAGAGAAAAAAGGTAAGAAGAGATGAAGGGCGAGAAAGAGAAAGGGAAGAAGAGGAAAAAGAAAAGAAATATTCAGGGCGAGAAAAAAGAAAAGGAAAAGGGAAAGAAAGAAGATATATAAGGGCGAGAAAAGAAAAGGGAAAAGAGGAAAAGAAAGAAAATATGAAGGGCGAGAAAAGAAAAGGGGAAAGAGAGGAAAAGAAAAAAATAAAAAGGAAAAGAAAAGAGAAAGGGAAAAAGAAAAAAGATATGAAGGGCGAGAAAAGAGAAAGGGAAAGAGAGGAAAGAAAAGAAGATATGAAGGGAGAAAAGAGAAAGGGAAAGAGGGAAAAGAAGAAGATTTGAAGGGAAGAAAAGAGAAAAGGGAGAAAAGGAGAAACGAAAATTAAGAGGGGCGAAAAGAGAAAAGAAAGATTTAAAAGAAAAAAGATGTAAAAAAAGAGAAAAGGAAAAGGAAAGAGAGGAAAGAAACTTTTAAAAGAAAAAGAAAATGGAAAGGGAAAGAGAGGAAAAGAAAGAAGATATGAAGGGCGAAAAGAGAAAGGAAAGAGAGGGAAAGAAAGAAGATAAAAGGGCGAGAAAAGAGAAAGGAAAGAGAGGGAAAGAATATGATTTTCTAGATTGCTAGAAAGGAAAGAGAGGGAAAGCAAGAAGATATTCTGGGCGAGAAAAGAGAAAGGAAAGAGAGGGAAAAGAAAGAAGAAATGAAGGGCGAGAAAAGAAAGAAAAAGAGAAAAAGGAAGAAGAAAGAAGGGCGAGAAAAGAGAGAGGGAAAGAGAGGGAAAGAAAAGAAGATAAGGAAAAGGGCGAGAAAAGAGAAAGAAAAAAAGAAAGGAAAAGGGCGAGAAAAGAGAAAGGGAAAGAGAAAAAAGAAGAAGATATGAAGAAAGAAAAGAGAAAGGGAAAGAGAGAGAAAGAAAGAAGATAAAGGGCGAGAAAAGAGAGAGAAGGAAAGAGAAAAAGAAAGAGATTAAAGAGAGAAAAGAGAAAGGGAAAGAGAGGAAAAGAAAGAAGAAATGAAGGGCGAGAAAAGAGAAAGGAAAGAGATTTTTAGAAAGAAGATAGAAGGGCGAGAAAGAGAAAAAGAAAGAGAGGGAAAGAGAAAGAAGAGAAAAAGGGCGAGAAAAGAGAAAAAGAAAGAAGGAAAGAAAGAGAAAAAAGGGAGAAAGAAAAGAGAAAGGGAAAAAAGAAAAAAGAAAGAAGATATTTTTCTCGTGAAAAGAGAAAGAAAAAAGATAAGAAAGAAGATATGAAGGGCCAGAAAGAGAAAAAAGAGAGGGGAAGAAAGAAGAAAGAAAGAAAGAAAAGAAAAATAAAAAGAGAGAAAAAAAGAAGATAAGAGAGGGCGAGAAAAAGAGAAAGGGAAAAAGAGGAAAGAAAGAGATGAAGGGAAAAAAAGAAAAAAGGAAAGAGAGGAAAAGAAAGAAGATGTGAAGGAAAAAAAGAGAAAAGGAAGAAAGGAAAAGAAAGAAGATATGAAGGGCGAGAAAAGAGAAAGGGAAAAGAGAGGGAAAGAAAAAGAAGATAAGAATTGAAAGAGAAAAGAAAGGGAAAGAGAGAAAAAGAAAGAAGATATGAAAAAAGAAAAGAGAAAGGAAAAGTGAAAAAAGAAAGATAAAGAAGGGAAAGAAAAGAGAAAGGGAAAGAGAGGGTCGAAAGAAGATATGAAGGGCGAGAAAAGAGAAAAGGAAAGAGAGGAAAAGAAAGAAGATATAAAGGGCGAGAAAAGAGAAAGGGAAAGAGAGGGAAGAAAAAAGATTTGAAGGGCGAGAAAAGAGAAAGGAAAAGAGGGAAAGAAAGAAGATATGAAGGGCGAGAAAAGAGAAAGGAAAGAGAGGGAAAGAAAGAAGATATGAAGGGCGAGAAAAGAGAAAGGGAAAGAGAGGAAAAGAAAGAAGATATGAAGGGCGAGAAAAGAGAAAGGGAAAGAGAGGAAAAGAAAGAAGATATGAAGGGCGAGAAAAGAGAAAGGGAAAGAGAGGGAAAGAAAGAAGATATGAAGGGCGAGAAAAGAAAGGGAAAGAGAGGAAAAGAAAGAAGATAGAAGGGCGAGAAAAGAGAAAAAAAGAGAGGGGAAAGAAAGAAGATGGAAAAGGGCGAGAAAAGAGAAAGGGAAAAGAGGAAAAGAAAAGAAGATATGAAGGGCGAGAAAAGAGAAAGGGAAAGAGAGGAAAGAAAGAAGATGGGAAGGGACGAAAAAAGAGAAAGAGAAAAGAGAGAGGAAAAGAAAGAGATAGGAAGGGCGAGAAAAGAGAAAGGGAAAGAGAGGAAAAGCAAGAAGATATGAAGGGCGAGAAAAGAGAAAGAGAAAGAGAGGAAAAGAAAGAAGATGGAAGGGCGAGAAAAGAGAAAGGGAAAGAGAGGAAAAGAAAGAAGATATGAAGGGGAGAAAAGAGAAAGGAAAAGAGGGAAAGAAAGAAGATGTGAAGGGCGAGAAAAGAGAAAGGAAAAAGAATTAAAAGAAAGAAGATGAAAGGGCGAGAAAAGAGAAAGGGAAAAAGAGAGGGAAAGAAAGAAGATATGAAGGGCGAGAAAAGAGAAAGGGAAAGAGAGGAAAAGAAAGAAGATATGAAGGGCGAGAAAAGAGAAAGGGAAAGAGAGGGAAAGAAAGAAGATATGAAGGGCGAGAAAAGAGAAAGGGAAAGAGAGGGAAAGAAAGAAGATATGAAGGGTTAGAAAAAGAGAAAAGGAAAGAGAGGAAAAGAAAGAAGATATGAAGGGCGAGAAAAGAGAAAGGGAAAGAGAGGAAAAGAAAGAAGATATGAAGGGCGAGAAAAGAGAAAGGGAAAGAGAGGAAAAGAAAGAAGATATGAAGGGCGAGAAAAGAGAAAGGGAAAGAGAGGAAAGAAAATAAAAAGGGCGAGAAAAGAGAAAAGGAAAGAAAAGGAAAAGAAAGAAGATGTGAAGGAATAAAGAGAAAAGAGAAAGAGAAAGAAAGAGAGGGAAAGAAAGAAGATAGAAGGCCGAGAAAAGAGAAAGGGAAAGAGAGGAAAGAAAGAAAAAGAAAAAGAAAGGGAAAGAGAGGAAAAAAGAAGATATGAAGACGAAAAGAGAGAAAGGGAAAGAGAGGAAAGAAAGAAGATGTAAAAAAGAAAGAGAAAGGGAAAGAGAGGAAAAGAAAGAAGATATGAAGGGAGAAAAGAGAAAGGGAAAAGAGAGAAAGAAAGAAAGATTTTAGCGAGAAAAGAGAAAGGGAAAGAGAGGGAAAGAAAGAAGATGTAAAGGGCGAGAAAAGAGAAAGTGAAAGAGAGGGAAAGCAAGAAGATATGAAGGGCGAGAAAAGAGAAAGGGAAAGAGAGGAAAAGAAAGAAGATATGAAGGGCGAGAAAAGAGAAAGGGAAAGAGAGGAAAAAGAAAGATATGAAAAGAGAAAAGAGAAAGGAAAGAAAGAAAGAAAGAAGAAAAAAATAAAGAAAAGAGAAAGGGAAAGAGAGGAAAGGAAGAAATGAAGGGCGAGAAAAGAGAAAGGAAAGAGAGGAAAAAGAAAGAAAATTGAAAGGGCGAGAAAAGAGAAAGTGAAAGAGAGGAAAAGAAAGAAGATATGAAGGGCGAGAAAAGAGAAAGGGAAAGAGAGGGAAAGAAAGAAGATGTAAAGGGCGAGAAAAGAGAAAGGGAAAGAGAGGAAAAGAAAGAAGATATGAAAGGGCGAGAAAAGAGAAAGGGAAAGAGAGAAGAAAAGAAAGAAGAAAAGAAGGAGAAAAGAGAAAGGGAAAAGAGAGAAAGAAAGAAGAAGACATGAGAAGGGCGAGAAAAGAGAAAGGGAAGAGAGGAAAAGAAAGAAGATATGAAGGCGAGAAAAGAAAAGGGGAAGAGAGAAAAGAAAGAAGATGTGAAGTAGAAAAGAGAAAGGAAAGAGAGGGAAAGAAAGAAGATAAAAAGGGCGAGAAAAGAGAAAGGGAAAGAGAGGGAAGAAAAAGAAAAGAAAGGGCGAGAAAAGAGAAAGGGAAAGAGAAAAAAAAGAAGATATGAAAACCGAGAAAAGAGAAAGGAAAGAGAGGAAAAAAGAAGATAAAGGGCGGAGAAAAGAAAAGGAAAGAGAGGAAAGAAAGAAGATATGAAGGGTGAGAAAAGAGAAAGGAGAGAGGAAAAGAAAGAAGATATGAAGGGTGAGAAAAGAGAAAGGGAAAGAGAGGAAAAAAGAAGATAATGAAGGCCGAGAAAAGAGAAAGGGAAAGAGAGGGAAAGAAAGAAGATAAGAAAGATTAGAAAAGAGAAAGGGAAAGAGAGGAAAAGAAAGAAGATATGAAGGGGTGAGAAAAAGAGAAAGGGAAAGAGAGGGAAAGAAAAGAAGATAAAAAGGTCGAGAAAAGAAAGGAAAGAGAGGAAAGAAAGAAGATATGAAGGTGAGAAAAGAGAAAAAAAAAGAGAAAGAAAGAAGAATGAAGGTCAGGATGAAAAGAGAAAAGGAAAGAGAGGGAAAGAAAGAAGATAAAAGGGGAGAAAAGAAAAAGAAAAGGTAAAAAGAGATATGAAGGAATGAGAAAAAGAAAAAGAAAGAGGGGAGAAAGAAGATATGAAGGGTGACAAAAGAGAAAGGGAAAGAGAGGAAAAAAGAAGAAATGAAGGGAAAGAGAAAAGAGGGGAAAGAGAGGGAAAGAAAGAAGATAGAAATGTATGAAAAAAAGAGAAAGGAAAAGAGGGAAAGAAAGAAGATATGAAGGACAAAAGAGAAAAAGGAAAGAGAGGAAAGAAAGAAGATATGAAGGGTGAAAAAGAGAAAAAAGAGAGGGAAAGAAAGAAGATATGAAAGAAAGAAAAGAAAAAAAGAAAGAGAGGGAAAGAAAGAAGATATGAAGGGTGGAGAAAAGATAAAGGAAAGAGAGGAAAGAAAAAAGATAAAGGGCGAGAAAAGAGAAAGGAAAGAGAGGAAAGAAAGAAGATATGAAGGGTGAGAAAAAGAAAAGGAAAGAAAAGAAAGAAGATAGGGTTAGAAAAAGAGAAAAGGAAAGAGAGGAAAAGAAAGAAGATAAAAGGAGAAAAGAAAAAGAGAAAGGGAAAAAAAATGAAGATATGAAGGATGAGAAAAAGAGAAAAGGAAAGAGAGGGAAAGAAAGAAGATATGAAGGGTGAGAGAAAGAGAAAGGGAAAGAAAGGAGATATGAAGGTCGAGAAAAAGAGAAAGGGAAAGAGAGGGAAAGAATGAAGATATGAAGGGTGACAAAAAGAGAAAAGGTAAGAGAGTGAAAAAAGAAGGTATGAAGGGCGAGAAAAGAGAAAGGGAAAGAGAGGGAAAGCAAGAAGATATGAAGGGCTAGAAAAAGAGAAAGGGAAAGAGAGAGAAAGAAAGAAGATATGAATGATGAGAAAAAGAGAAAAAGAAAGAGAGGTAAAGAAAGAAGATATGAAGGGCGAGAAAAGAGAAAGGGAAAAGAGAGAGAAAGAAAGAAGATATAAAGGTGAGAAAAGAGAAAAGGGAAGGAGGGAAAGAAAAAAAGATATGAAGGGCGAGAAAAAGATAAAGGGAAAGAAAAGGAAAAAGATATGAAGGGGTGAGAAAAAGAGAAAGGGAAGAGAGGGAAAAGAAAGAAGATGTAAAGGGTGAAAAAGAGAAAAGGAAAGAGAGGAAAGAAAGAAGATATGAAGGGCGAGAAAAGAGAAAGGGAAAGAGAGTAAAGAAAGAAGATATGAAGGGCGAGAAAAGAAAAGGGAAAGAGGAAAAGAAAGAAGATATGAATGGTGAGAAAAGAGAGAAAAAAGAAAGAGAGGGAAAGAAAGAAGATATGAAGGGCGAGAAAAAGAAATGGAAAGAGAGAAAAAGAAAGAAGATATAAGGGGTGAGAAAAAGTGAAAGGGAAAGAGAGGGAAAGAAAGAAGATGTAAAGGGCGAGAAAAGAGAAAGGGAAAGAGAGGGAAAGAAAGAAGATATGAAGGGCGAGAAAAGAGAAAGGGAAAGAGAGGGAAAGAAAGAAGATGTAAAGGGCGAGAAAAGAGAAAGGGAAAGAGAGGAAAAGAAAGAAGATATGAAGGGCGAGAAAAGAGAAAGGGAAAGAGAGGAAAAGAAAGAAGATGTGTAGGGCGAGAAAAAGAGAAAGGGAAAGAGAGGGAAAGAAAGAAGATATAAAGGGTGAGAAAAAGAGAAAGGGAATGAGAGGGAAAGAAAGAAGGTATGAAGCGCGAGAAAAGATAAAGGGAAAGAGAAGGAAAGAAAGAAGATGTGAAGGGCGAGAAAAAGAGAAAGAGTAAGAGAGGGAAAGAAAGAAGATATAAAGGGTGAGAAAAAGAGAAAGGGAATGAGAGGGAAAGAAAGAAGGGCGAGAAAAAGGGAAAGGCAATTAAGCAACTCCAAACGGAAAAAGATTATATCTGTTGGAATTACAATGTCATTGACAGAAAGCTTTTAAACCAATAGATCTTCAATAATATTAAACGCTCTGCTCATGTTTTGCTTTTTTCCTTTTTTTTTTCAATTCTCGTTCTTTTATCGTTCGCTCTTAATTATATTTTTCTTTTTCTTTTATTCACCCACTCTCGGTAAATCCCACTTGCGTCTAAGTGACTTTATTGTCTTGCTTGGTGCGAAATGATAAAAAAGGACTCTGGAAAAATGGTTGTTTTTTTTTATACGGTTCCAAGAAATACCTGGCTTTTCCTGTCATACTTTATCTGTACAAGAGTCAGATTCGATACAAATCTAATACAAATGTCTGATATCTGGACTGGCGCTACCTAATCTTTCCTTTGCAGTCTAGACAGAGTTCAAAATCGTTTACGCGGTCTTGTAGGAGATTATTTACTCCCATATGTACCTCGATATGGCAGTATTGATTTTTTTAAATCTCCGAAAGAACAATGTTCTATCGGTGTAGTTCTTTTAGCTGAAAGGCCTCTCGAGTCATCCGATGTAGGTTTGTACGCGGTGGTCTTATATTTAACTGTGGCCTGATAGACTATGTTTTTTACTTGGCAATTCCCACTGAGAAGGCAATCATCAGCTTTCATGAATTTTACATCCCGTTTTTCAGATTCTTTTTGTTCAAAACTAGTGTTATATATTTTTTTGAAAAAAGTCTTTTAACAATTGCAGACTCACTTGTTCATTTCAACCTATGAGGGCGCTACAGTTTAATGAACTGTTAGGGATGATTTAATTATAGTGGTAAAGGCTTGTGTTGTACCAGCGATACCTTTCGAAAGACCTGATAACAAAGGAATGGTGTTCAGCGTACAACGTAGTCTCCAAACAGTCGTTTCCAGGTTCGATTTTAGAGTTTTGCATTAGCCTAGACTGGCTGTAATCCAAGGCAAAATAGCCCAGTTTAACCTAGAGGAAAATGGATTCAAGCCATTTCCAAGGGCATTAACAAAACAGTAACCAGACGAAAGAAGTACTTTTAGAGCAAACTTCTGGAAGTTTTACATCATTACACAATAATATTTACATAGTCACATGTTATTTAATAATATATCAATATGCCTGGCTCTTGATAATATCAACCATGGATGAAAAAAGTAATTATTGCTACTCCTTATTCAAGTACGACTGTAACAGGAGGGGAAAGCTTTTTTTTTTTTTACTAATTTTCACCCAATACAAGGCCCAAGAACCAATCAAGGTAGAGGTTTACATAGTGGATTTATATTAGGAAAGAAGAAGCGTTATGAGTATAGAGATGAAGCGGACTTCAGAAGGAACCGGAAACCGACTCTTAAACAGGAATCTAAAGATAAACCCCTACTCCTGTTCAAAAGACCTGGGAGAAGTGCGAACCGGACGATAGGGAAAGCTATCCACTCTTATTAGGGGAGAGGAGAAATGGATAAATTGAAATAAATAGTGAATAAAATTTCAGTGTTCAGGCGCAGATGTTAGTGGTACAGAGCTGAAGCAGACTGTAGAAGGATCCGGAAAGCCAATCCTAAAAAAGGAACAAGGGATAAACCTCTACTGTCCACCTCAACAGTCAACGTCTTGTAGATGGAATCTTTCTTTTTCTATTTCTCTGCAGGCTGAAATATACTCAGAACTATTCTTTGTTTGCTTTTTGGACCTTCAGACTTCCTGTGGCGCATAAGATCACAGCCTCACTTCTCTGGATGATATTGCTGCGATTTCAGTAAGTTGCACGTGGTGGAGTTGCCAGCCTCGCGCCCAGCTAGTCTCTATGTCCATCTTCTATTGGTTGTCCAGGTGTGTGTGTGTGTGTGTGTGTGTGTGTGTGTGTGTGTGTGAGAGAGAGAGAGAGAGAGAGAGAGAGAGAGAGAGAGATACTATTTAACCCTTATTTATTAGTTACAAATCTATTGTTTTCTCATTTGGCTACATGGTCGTCTACAGTCGCTCTTTCACAGACGCGCCGTCGCCTCTCTCTGTCTTTTTTACAAATACTTTCATGGTAATTGCTCCGAGGAGCTGCATTCGCTGGTTCCCAGACTTCATGAATTCAAGCGCCCCACGAGGCTGGCATCCCGCTCTCATCCTTTCACTATCGAAACTATTAAATGTACCCGTCTCTTCTACTCCAATAGTTTCATACCTCGTACCTCTCGTCTGTGGAACACCCTTCCCTATTCCATTTTCCCTGAGAGCTATAATCTCCAACTATTCAAATGTAATGTCAATCGACATCTCCAGTTGCCTTGATTTATGAACTATCTATCGCACCCGACCGGAAGTTACTGCCGGCTACTCAAACGTCTGAAAGCGTCACTGCGGAAAACAGAACGAATGCCGTTAACTTCCGGTGACTCAGCGTTTTCCTGAGAACGATATACAAAAAGCAAAACAAATGAAACATAA